AAGCGTTATTTGGAGGATATTATTTGCATTGCCGTGGTGGTTTTTTTCCGGGGGCAAGAATGACAATGAGCTACAACGTCACTCACGGGCAGTTCGGTGACACCACGCTGACCAAAGTCTTCGTCGGAGGGCTGGCGTGGGAGACTCCCAAAGAGGCCCTGAGGGAGCACTTCGAAAAGTACGGCGAGATCTTGGAGGCCGTCATCATCTCCGACAAACTCACCGGCCGATCCAAGGGCTACGGTTTCGTGAGTCTTCTATTTTCTCTCTCTTTTGGCAACTTTGATAATAATATTACTGTGGTGGTGATCGGTGGTTTTTAATGATGTTTTTCTATAATGTAACGCGTAGGTGACCTTCACGGAGCCCGAGGCGGCTAAGAAGGCTTGTGAGGACGCCACGCCGGTCATCAACGGCCGCCGTGCCAACTGCAACCTCGCTTCCCTCGGGGCTCGCCGCCCTAGGTCCGCTTCAAACACCACCCCTCCTCCTCAACGAGGTATATATATTACAATCTACAATATCTGATACATTATCGATATTCACTAAGGTGGGATTTTCATCTGACATTGCATCTAAATGATTATTATGAAGGATCCAACGGTGGGGGAGCGAGGTGCATGTCACCTGCAAATCACGTGCAGTGGTACTACCCAGCACCAACAGGGACTCCGACGACTACCCCATTCCACCACCAGCATCACCAGGCCGTTCCATTTTATGGGTATTTTACCAATATTTCCACGCCACTAATTCCCCATTTTATTTTTGGTACGTCTGTTAAATAATGCAAACAATTAAGGGAAATAAAACGATTTTATTTTCTCTCTTTTCAGCTACTCCCCCACATACATTGCTCATGATATGAGTTACCATCATGTAAGTAATGTGTTTTCCAACTTCAATCTTCTTGTCGTGTTTTCTATGTATTTATGGCTAAAACTACTGTTGCAGAAAAAGAAGTCAAACTTAAGTGCAAGTATCGAGCATAATATTATGATTAACTGATCTAACTTACATTTATGTTTGTGACTTAAACTAAATTGAATTATTTGAGGGGTCAATGTGATTTGATACTTGTTCTTCATATGACAATGGTGAATTTGCAGAAGGTGGGCCACACAGGTGGAGCTTACATGAACGGGCCCTACTCTGCTGCTCAAGTGTACCCAGCACAGCCTATGGTGGGACACAACACTATGATGCCAATGTATCCTCTCTACCAGTACCACTATCATCACCAATCACATACAATGGGCTTACCTGCTCACATCTACTCGCCAACCACGGCCGCACATGTGGCCGCAGTCCCAACCATCATGTCCAAACCAGCATCCATTGCTCCTAACACAGGTAGATAGATGGTTGATGCACTGATCTTACGGTGTACTTGCTCACATGCTAAAATGTTCTACCTAGTCAGTGTCCCCATATGGGAACGTGGAAAAAAATAATTGCCAACTCTAATTTTGGTGAACTCACGTGGCTTGAACATGGTTATTGGACTTTTGTTCGTATTTAAATCCAAATAATTTTTCAATTGTTAAGATTAAGCGTTTTAGATACGTCAAGAATGAAGTGATTTCACACTCGCATTTTTTCTTCCTGCATCTCATCCAATTTAGTATACGGAAACAAAGAAATTAGTGCATCAAGAAAAGAAAAAAAGAAGTATGAAATCACTATCCGGTTTAGCTAGTGTACGTGATGTATTGATGTGAAAGTAAAAATGTCATGCATGAATGAAATGAGAAACCTTGAAATAACATATAAGAGGTTTTATGGTCGAATCTCAATATTTTTTATGATATCAAAGCGGGTTGATCCATGTGTGAAACTTGACAACCACACGTAATCTGCGTCGCACAAGTTGTGTTGCCCATTTGTTTGGCTTCAAAATTTGCCCATGTTAAGGGGGCTTGTGTCACCTCAATTTTCTTCGCATAATACTAGTTTAAAATGTTATATAAGGCTCAAAACATGGTAAACAGGACAAGTTTTGGCTATTGATTCATTTATATCATATTGATATGAAACCTTGTAGCGTTCACGTACTATATTATGAACAAATGATTATGTTCAATACACAATATAATACGAATGGATTCATAATATCACGTAACAGTGTTACAGCGAGACCAAAATTATTTGTTTTCATTCCAAGTTGGCATTTTTCTTCATTAAATCCAAGTAGATATTGTAGATTCCATATATTGGTAGTAGTTTAAGGCAATTAATTAATTAATTATATTTGTTATGAATAGATATAAACTGATTGCTAGAGAAACAGTGTGCTTGGCTGTGGAATAGCAGATGCAGTTGGCAGAGAAGAGGACGAGAGCTTTAAGAAAGTGAAGGGCATGCACTGCAGTACTCATTCAAATTAGTTGGCAAAATAACAAAAGGGGGAACGTGGTGGCCGCACAGAGCAACATTATTATCTCTGATCTGTTGTAGCTCTTTCTTTCCAATTAATTTATTTTTATTAATTTAATTTTTAATTAATTCCATAAGTGTTCTTAATTAATTTAGGTGTTTCTGATAAATTCTTTCATTCTCCTCTCTCTCTCTCTCTCTCTCTCTCTCTAACATATCCATCTCAGCTTGAGCTGTGAACCCTTCAACCAAAACAATGTAACAGAGAAGTCATTGTATGCATGTTCTCTCGATTGCCCACATCTTGTGGGTTGCTTTTCATGGCTTCATTCGACTTTTTCAGCATGAACTCGCTCTTTCTCACTTGAATCTTATGTCCATGGAGTATACATCTCTTTGTGTTTACAACGCTGGTTGTGTTATCGTTTTTATAGACATAAAATATAATGTTCCAGATTGTAGGACAAATTCTTTGCTCGGGCACTCGCACAACATAAAGAACTATTCGATACTTCAACATGTTCAAGCCAGTGCAATTTCTATTCATGTATTGGGCTGATTTGAGTTGCGGAGTATGCAGACAATAAGTGTAAAATCAATTAGTTACAGATATGATACCAACTTAGGGTCACCAATTACTGAGTGTATACCGCTTTTGTTTTATCTCTCTCGTTGTATGACTTATCACTTTTCCATTTTGAGCCATATATATTTCAATCTTCTCTTAACTTAATTATGAAAAGTCTAACCGACCTTACTACTCTTCTTAGAGTGAACCAAATTCGAGAATATTGCAGTCAAAATACTTATTTACTTTTGAATTAAAGGATAATAAGAAAAGATTTATATCTCAGTTTGGAGTAACGTTAATTGAAGTCAAAATACTTATTTACTTGTGAATTAAAGGATAATAAGGCAAGATTTATATCTCATTTTGGAGTAATGCAAGAGAAACCACATATTTATATTATATTATATTGGTGTACCATCACATGTGGTAATTGATGCATACAACTGAGTCATTGACATCCATGAGATGAATTCAATCATTGACGTGGCATGCACATCAGATGGTACAAAAATGTGGTATCCTTAACATTTTTCCTTAGTTCGTTGTATCTAAAGTATTGTGTTTGATTCTCTACTCTCTAAATAATTATTAAGTAAAAAAGGAGAACGAGAAGTGATTTGGTGTCCACTGACTTTATTCGTAACAATATGCTGCTCTCTATGCATCCAAATTTGAATCCACATTTCCGTAATTCAAATTAACTTAGTATACCCTTGAAAAACAGTTAAATGGCTCAATAATTTGGGCTCCTAATAAAACATCCAGCCCAAGTACATAAAGTACATGTGAGAAGGATGAGCAGGCCCAATTATTAAATCCCAGACGCCGAGCTAAGAAGTAACACCTATGGGCTAGTTTTTTTCTAAATAAAAAACAAAAAATAGTCAAAGATCCCATAAAATTGAAGTACGTCATCTGGATTGGCTTTGATGATGATGTCATTTTTTTTTTTTTATGAGTGAGGATTCTCGTTAGATCTTCTTATCTCGAGAATTTTTAAATTATGTTTGTTCATTGTTCATTGTGCGATAAAATATTATTATCAATTTTTATTTAAAATTAAATATAAACATTGTTGGATGAAGACTGATTACACGATATACAATGAACGAATATAATTAGAGGATTCGTGAAATCCTCGTTAAAAGATCCGGCGAGTCTGTAATTCTTTTATAACTAGAGCCACATGTTTCTTTGTCAGGGTCACTACTAAGCCAGCTGTCATCAATTGAGGATAGCCTAATAGTACTATTGAACTCTTTTTTTTTTTTTTTTTTTTTTTTTTTTTTTTAATAAGCCGAATTCACTTTTCGTGAGGTACTTCGAAGTCCCAAAAAAATTAAGAAAAATTGGTCAACAATTGCTACAAAAATTTATGATTTGATTTTGCTTGACATGATTTCGAGCTTCTTTTTTTATGATTTTTATTTAACAATTATGATTCTTTTTCATCACTTTTTATACCTTCACTTATTCTTTTCCACACGTCAGCCATTGGTTGGCCATTTTTTTAATCTCCGTCGGTGTTGAAAATCATCTCATGGAAAAATTTGATGCTCATGGTTTGTTGATTCAATAGGGTTTGAATGAAATCAACAAAAAAAAAAAAATGAAATAAAGCTCGTTAAATATGTGGCACAATTTTAAGCAATTAGATTTCTCCTGAATGATCGAGGAAATGAGATCAACCTCCTATACTAAACTATTTTTAATTGAGGTCCTTGGAAATACAGCCACGTGGATAAAAATCAGAAGAACCTTGATAAAAAAATTAAAATGGAATAAAATTTCAATCATCTTAAACCATATAAGGTGATTATCAATTTAAATTATATTTTGTAAATTATATAATGTGGTTATTAATATTAACTAACATGTTTATTTTCTACTAATAACTCGTAATGATCTGTCTTAAATTTACCTTATATCACTGTTAAAAAAATTCGACTATTAACCCCTATATCTGGTTTGAATAAATAGTTTTAAGCATCACCCGTAAAACCAAATTGTTGGGCCTCTGCGTGCAATTTTAATTTTAATATTTCTGGATCTCCCAAAAGTACACTTCCCTTATACCCAAAATCGCGAAACCCATTTTCTCTCTCTCTCTCTCTCTCTCTCTCTCTCTCTCTCTCCCCTCCCTAAACCCACAGGCCTCAAGGCTTTAATCTTGTTCGGAAGATCTGGAGGTAAACACACACAATCACTGACCTTCGAGCTTTAAACTTTCAAATTATGTTGCTTTCACATATTCTGCTTTAATTTTCTCGATTGCATGCTTAGATTTGCTCAGTTTTGTGATTAGGGTTTATCAAATTTTCGAATTTTTTGGTAATTTTTGGAAGTGAAAAAATGAAAAGAAGTTGAAGTTGATGGTTTTGGAAAATACCCAGATAAAATCTCTCAATGGATGAGCAAAAGGATACGGATGTTGCTGTGGGTAGTGGGTCAGAGTCCACTGTGAGTGTAAGTAGACATGTAGCTGGTGAAACCCTAGCTGGGGCCGAGGCTTGTGTGAGTGAGGGTCAGGTTGAGGGGTCTTTTGTGGAGGATGTTGGTGACGATGAAGGCGGTGATTGTGAGGGGGATGATATAATGGTGGAGGTTCTGGGTTCTAATGTCTATGTTGGTGGAGTTTGCACCAATGGGGATGGGGGCGATGAGGGGGTGGGACGTGATGAGTCGGTTGAGGTTGATATGGGGTCGGAGGGAAATGTGAGATCTTCCGGAGGAGATGGTGGTAAAGTGGGTGAGCTGGATTCTGTGGCTGCAGACGTTAGTTCAACAGTTATAGAAACCCAGGTTGTTCATTTTGTGGAAGCTGAGATGGTTGTGAGGCAGGATGTGGATTTAGAGGAAGTTAATGTTTCGGATGAAAAAGCAGAGGATGCCACAGCAGAAAATGGACTTGGGGGTTCCTTCATTGGACCTGTAGGTAGTGAAACACAAGTTATCGTCAGTGAAGTAGTTGTGAGGGAAAGTGTAGAAGTTTCGGGGGTGGATTGGTGGAGGTTGTGGAACATGAAAAGAAGTTGGTTGTTGGTGAGGTTGATGCACTCAATGATTTGAAGGCACAAAAAGCTGGTGTTTCAGATGATGAAGTATGGAATCCTGGAATTGAAAAAGCTACAGTGACTGTTAATGAAGAAGGTAATCCCAAACCCTCAGGTGAACAAAGCCAAGTTTCTGCTGGTGGTGGTGATGTTGCCGGGGTGGACATTGTAGATATTCTGACTTCCAAAGTTGCAGGTAAGGAAACTGATAAAACTAACGAAAATTCGAGTAAACCAGTTGAAGAACAGCTGGTTAAGATTGAGCCAGTAGGTGGTAGCACCCATAGTGGCAGCAATGTACCTGAAAATTCAGTGTCTTTTCCTATGCCGCCTCAAGTAGTTCTTGGAAGTGACACGGGAGCAACAGGTGCACAAGATTCGGAAAAAAATCAGTTCTTGAAACCTGAAGAGAGTGTAGAGGACATGGTTCATGATATTGCTTTGGTTTCAACTACCTTATCTCTGCCAGCTCAAGTAATGCTGGAGGTGTAGTTTCAGTAACAGATGGAAGGGGCCTTTTGAATTCTGAAAAAGAACTGCACTTGAAACCTGAAGAGAGTCTAGGCAAGAACACGTTCCATGATACTGTGCTGGTTGAATCAAATACAGAGCAAGAGATGGAAAAGGACAGCCATGGTAATGGTACTGAACAGGTTGGCGTAGATGGAGCAGATCAATCCCTGGAGTCTGAAAAGTGTTTGGAAAAGTCTGCGACTGCTTTTGTTGCTCCAGTTCATCCCGATATGGAAGCAGAGAAAGTCAATGAACAAGTGAGTGATGCTGAGGGTGTATTAAATGGAGGGGAACAGATAGAAGATGAAGGGGATATTACTCCCATGGACACTGAGGAGGTTTTGGATTCTGTGACTGCAGCCGAGACCAATGTTGTGCATGAGGTAGGAGTTAAAGAACAATTTACTGATGCTGTGCTAGATGGTTTACACGGAGGGCAATACAGGGAAGGTGAAAAAGAAGCTACTGATGCTGAACAACCAAAAGCGGGTGAAGAGGAAATTCTTAAACAAGAAGCTATCGAAGGAAGCTCAGAAATTGTGCCTCAACCGAGATATGAGCTGCCACCAGAAAATCATGTGTTCTCTGCATCTGATTTAGTTTGGGGTAAAGTGAAGAGCCATCCATGGTGGCCTGGACAGATATTTGATTATACAGTTGCATCTGAGAAGGCAATGAAATATCACAAAAAGGATTGCTTTTTGGTAGCATATTTTGGGGACCGCACGTTTGCTTGGAATGAACCATCTAGTTTAAAGCCTTTTCGATCTTACTTTTCCCAGTCAGAAAAGCAAGGTAATTCAGAAGCTTTCCAGAATGCTGTCAATCGTGCACTGGAAGAAGTTTCGAGACGTGTTGGATTGGGGCTAGCATGCTCTTGCATACCAAAAGAAGTCTATGAGAAGATTAGGTTCCAGAAAGTTGAAAATGCTGGGATCTGCCAAGAATCCAGTAGAAGAGATGAAGTGGATGAATCGGCAAGTGCCAGTTCTCTTGAATGTAATAAATTGCTGGAATACATAAAAGCTTTAGCACGGTTTCCGTCTGGTAACAGTGACCGATTAGAAGTTGTGATAGCTAAGGCTCATATGTTAGCATTTTATCGCTTGAAGGGTTACTACAACTTGCCAGAATTCCAATCTTGTGGAGATATATTGGAAAACAAAGATGAAAGGATTGAGCATACAACTCCTACTGGTAAGGATGTTAAAGATACTTTCTCTGGCCCCAACATTATTACCTATTCTCACAAGCGTAAACATAATTTAAGAGGTGGCGTGTATTCTAAGGTAAAAGAAAGAAGCCTGTCTGAATTAATGGACGGCGGCTTAGAATCTCTAGACGGTGGTGATTGGTTGGATGGGAACGAAACTGGTGGTTTGGTCTCACCATCCTCTGGCAAGAGACGGAAGGGTTTTGAGTATCATGTTGATGATGATGGAAGGAAAGTTACCGTTGCAAAAGTTTCTAACACCACACCTCCCCCAAAGCAGTCTTTTAAGATTGGTGAATGTATCCAGAGAGTTGCAAGCCAACTTACAGGGTCTCCTATTGTGAAGTCCAACAGTGACAGACCTGCTGGGGATGGATCTGATGTTGCCATCCCGAGTTCTGGTGATGTCCATAGAGGGAAAACAATTGATGGAACAGAGTACTCATCGCTAGATGAATTGCTGTCACAACTTCAGTCGGCAGCAGAAGATCCGCGGAAGGATTACCATAGCTTGAAAACTGTTGTTAATTTCTTCTGTGATTTTAGGAATTCGGTAGCTGTAGGTCAGCTTCCTGTGATGGAGCATGTAGCTGTGGACAAAGTTGGTGGTAGAAAGAGGAAGTCAAATTCTGCATTTGGGATGCCCGAAACTTTTGAATTTGATGATATGAATGATACTTATTGGACAGACAGGGTAATCCAAAATGGCGCTGAAGAGCAAACACCTCGAAGGGGCAGGAAGGTTAATTATCAACCTGTTGTTCTCGCCCAACCAGAAAAATCCCCTCAAGAGGGTCGCAGGCCATACACCAGGAAGCGGTATTCCCAAACCGTTAATGCTTTGCCGCCAGAGAAACCTGTTGGCTATGTGGATGAGAATGCCCCAACAGAACTTGTTATGAACTTCTCTGAGGTGAATTCTGTTCCCTCAGAAATAAAGCTAAATAGAATGTTTAGGCGCTTTGGACCTCTGAAGGAAGCTGAAACAGAAGTTGATAGGGAGAGCAGTCGTGCTAGAGTTGTTTTCAAGAAATGTTCTGATGCAGAGGTAGCTATTGATAGTGCGGGAAAATTCAAAATCTTCGGATCAATACCTGTAAACTACCAGCTCAATTATACTCCATCTCAGCTCAACTATACTCCGTCTATCCAATTTAGCATTTCTCCCAGTGCCACAACCCATGATCAGGAGATGCAACTTGTTCTTTCCTCCCATGATCATGAGATGCACCTTGATCTCTCCGCCCACGACCAAATGCAACTTGATCTTTCCACCCACGACCATATGCAACTGGATATGCAACTTGATCTTTCCTCCCATGACCAGATGCACCTTGATCTCTCCACCTTCGATAACCTGTGAAGTTGTCAGGTAATAATGGACCTGGATTAAATTTCATTGCACTGATCTTTGAAATTCTGCTTAAGCTTGCTTAGCTGCAAACTTTCAACTAGGTTTGTAGCATTTAAAGGTTTTATTTCTTTAAAAATGAAAACGAAAAACTATAGGAAGTGAACAGATTCACGGGTTTGGGGAATTAGGAATTAACAAAGGCCTTATTACGCCCTGGTTCGTGTCAAATAGTTACCTGTGCAGAGTTTCTTTTTTCAAATTCTTTTGTTTGGTGGGGGAGGTGAAGTTTAAAGAATGACATTGTGTCCTGAATTTCTGTAGTTGTTTCCAAATCTATACTTGGTATCGGGAGAGAGATAACTATGTATATCGTTCCATATCAGACTGAATTTGGTCTTACTTTTATGTGCCCTGGCACTTGGACCGATGTATGGGAATAAGGTTTTACAGCATGTCGCATAAAGAATAATGCGCAAATTTTACTCTATATCCTTCTTTGATAGTATGCAATTATCTGATGTATTCTTCTACTTCCGATTTTTCACAACTTTGGTTTTGTAGTCTTCTATCTGGTATCAATTTGTTTCAATAGTTAACTTTTCTTTTGCATGTTTAATTGCAGGGAGAGTAAATGCTGAAGAAGAAAAAAGAGAGATAGCAATCATAGCGTGCGGGTATATATGCCCTGGGAAGCCCTTGGATGAGCACAGCTGAATCGGCTGCTGAAGGAGGTAACCAGACCGTGTATTCATCTGGTTGTCGTGAATTTAATCTGTGCCAAGTGTTCTTGCTGTTTTCTAGTCACGAAGATGCCTGTTTTTTGCTTCCTTCTGTACTCTTATGCATGTTAGGGTTCTTTGTTTGAACGTATAGCAGAGGTCGCTGATCCTTCCTTGATGGCTGCAATTGTGGCATCATTTTGTATCGATGAATAGGGCCAAAAGATCGTGTATGATTGTGCATTATCCCTTGTTGAATAACGGTGATACCGATAAATTTTTTGAAAACCATGCTGATTACTGGAGGGTTCTGAGGGTCGTTTGGGCGCTCGGAAACTTGGGAGTTTCAAACAGCGTGTTAGAATTCTAAGTTTAATGCTTGGGGGAAAAAGTAGCATGCTTTTGCGTTGTGATGTGTGTGTGATACATGTATGTGTGCGCCTTCTCTTCCCGTGGTTGCAAAGCACGATATGCAGAGAGTCCATTCTCACTTCGTTCCCATCCGTCGGTATAATGTTACCATCGTGGAGGTTTTTCTCCGATGCCGGTTAAATCTTGGGTGATGTGAGTGAATTATCTAGCAAGATTATGGCCGACTTGTGGTGGCTGTCGTGCGTTTTTATTTCCTGGGCTGGTATTTTACCCAGGTGGGCGATAGCATACTTTTTCTGCTTGTTCAAGGGTATAAATATTCATGATCCAACAAAAACTAAAATAACCTCATCAATAAAAGGAAAACGTTACTTTTTCCACTTTTATTTTTGGGTGGTAAATTATATAAATTGTTGACCAGTTTTTCGTAGACTTATGGTTGACTATATAGGAAAAGGATCCTCGCCGGATCCTTTTTCTTAGGGATTTGTGATAATGACCGTTCATTATATATCGTGCGGTCAGTTTTTGTTAGGTACTATTTAATTTTAATTTAAAATTTTAAATTTAAAATGATTTATGATCGCACGATGTACGATGAAGGGTTATGATTCACGGAAGGATCCTCACTGCATCCTTTTCCGACTATATATTCATCGTCGGAATATTGCATGCAAATAAAATGGTTGATTTTCTACCCAAAAGTCTGTACAAATAAACACTACTAAATCAGGCGTTTCTTTCAGTTTCGGTATGTCCAATAATCGCTTGTTAATTGATTCTCAACAAAAAGTTTTGATTTTCCTCGTGTGAATTCACTCTCCACCTCTCTGTCTCTGTCTCTCTCTCTCTCTCTCTCTTCAAGAACACAAATACCCAGTAGTAATCTTCACTAGAAGAAGCTCCAGAACAACAGAGATGTCCTCCAATGGCGATTTTCAACAACTTACCTTCCCAGGTCCTCTCTCTCTCTCTCCAAGAAACTCATCTCTTTTCATGTTCTTTAAATTCTGTTTATTTTTTGCTGCATTTTCCAAGCAACCAATGATGCCCAGTTCGCGTAAATGTGGCAATTTGGGTACTCAAACAAATTCTCACCGCAGATATTTTAGAGCCTGTTTGGTATCTAACTTGAGAACGAAACTAAAAATTTTAATTTTTTCTAAAAACACATGTTTTGATTTAAAAATTTTAAATTCAAAACCTTGTTTGGTATGCATTTTCTGAAAACTAATCCAAACAGAAAAAGTCAAACGCCCAGCCCAAGCAATTACCCGACCACTTCATCCCTCCCATCCCCAGTGGCTAAAGACCAATTTCCTGACCACCGCATCCTTCACTTCCCTAGCGGCGACTCATTTGGCTATTTTACCAACTCCTTACTCCAAACTCGCGCTGACAAAGGCTAATCATGTTGGCAATCTCAAACCTGAGATCCAACGACCATAGGGAAGATTTGGTGGCTATGGTGGATGCAAGTGAGAAGAGATAAGATTGAAGAGGCAACAGAGAAGAGAGGAATGAAGAGGCCGGAGAGATCGATTTGTCTTGGCCGGAGGGAGAAGGATAGAGGTGGTGGCTATGGTGGTTATAAACGGGAAGGGATTGGAAAGGCAACAGAGAAAAGAGGATTGAAAAGGGAAGAAGGAAGGGAGTACATCGAATGGGAGAGTTCGATTAGGGTGTTGGAGCCTGAGGAGCTGCTTGAGACCATGAATTCATGAACCACGGGCAATGCCATTAACTATCAGGGGCATGATGAAGAAATGCTCTTACCTTCGGAGTCTTTGGAACGCGAAAGAACACGGAGAGTTAACCGGTGTAGCTTTCGTAAAAGCCTGGCTTGGGATAATGCCTTTTTCACCAGTGCAGGTATATGTTAATCGGGTTGAAAATCGTTATACATGTGCTTGTTATGAACATTTTCTTGCTGCACAAGTTTGAAACTTCTGATTGGTTGCTAGTGCTCAGGGGTTTTGGATCCTGAGGAATTGTGTATGGTTAACAGATGATTCAAGAAATCCGAAACGAATCAGCTTCCAGGGATTCAAGAAGTCTGGAGGTCTGCTGAGTCAATGACTACAGTTCATAGTGGATGTTCCTCTTTGATGGCAAGCATTGAGTTTGAGCTTTTTGATGACAACAGATCATCTGCGCAGAAACCGACTAGTTTACCCAGTGTCACGACTTCAAGTCTCAAGTCGAAAAAGAGGAAGAGGCCTGCAAAATGTTCGCCGTACGTATACACTGGCCTTGCTAATAACAAGTGAACCTCACCTTTGTATTTTTTTATGTGCTTTGTGTAAACATGTCCTTGTTTTGCGTAAAAATTTTCAGCTTCCAAGAATCCTGACGCTTCTCCTCGGATGAGGGTAAGTTTCTTTCGTTATAATTTTTGTGAGTAATCATGTTTCTGAGGTTATTTCAGGATGAATATGTCTGTTTTGGCATTCAGATGAGAGCCATGCCAACCTCCCAAAGGCAAAGTCTTAATGCGCGTGGACCGGAGAAATGAAATGAACCTTGCTGCTGTAAGTAGGAAACTGAACTCATCAGCATCTCGCAAACCGTCAAAGATATCTAGCCGGATTAATTAATCTTATGCACCTGCAGCGAAAAGGGCTTGTTTGGGTGGAGATAATGAAAAATGGAAACTGCAAAAGCTGCCCCTGGTAAGAAGGAAGATCAAGTAAAACGCTAACCGGAGCGCACACAGTTTTTCATTTTAAAATGCCTTGCTTAGGAGTATCGTGCAGCATCACCAATACTATTACACCGCCCCCAAAGACATCTCCATTTTGTTCTCCCACTGCCACACACGAGTCTCGGGTTTATAGTTCTTCCTTATTCAGTAATCTCCATTGTACTCGAGGAGCAAAAATGATTCCTCACTTGTCAGTTTGGCCTCCCGTGGTTTTACCATGGGAACTCCTTCGAAATCCACAATGAAAAACAAAGGTGAACTGGAAACTTCTTGTCACCCATCCACTCTAGTGCGCACGCCGCAGTCTTCCCCTTATCCATCACCTGCTAGTTCCCTTGTTGGCTGGTCCTCAGCATCCTCATCAGCGTCTGCGAATCAAAGATTGAAGAAGTCTGAGGTCGGTCTGAATACTTTCATCAGCGGACAGGCTTTTTTTGAGAGTGATGTCTCTCGGGAATCAATTCTGGAGAGTCATTCACATGATCAACCATGCATTGGACATGGAAATCAAGAAGCAATGCTCTTGAATCCACGCGAGGGAAATATGTCAATGGGAGGTAGCCCTATGGATCCTAACAGTGTTTCTAAACATATCAGGCCCTCATGTCTCCGAGCGCCATCTCCAAAGATTGGCTTTTTCGACAAGGTTAGTTTATATGCATTCTTCATTATTCTTGTACTAACTGAATGGTTTCAGTGTTTCAAATTCGCTATATGCTGTTGAGAAAAAACTCCTCAATTGACAGGAGATTTCTTTGGTGAGATCAAGCGTGCATTCTCCTGCAGGAAGTCACAAGGATTAATGTTGGTGCCATTGATCTTGGAATTGGATTAATGTTGTGCAGTGAAAGAGGAGATCGAAGGCAAACAAGAGTGCATGTCATTGCCTAATAATCGACGATCACCAAAGGGAAATGATAAACACGCATTATTTTTAGCTTCTTATGCAACTCTATTTAATAATATCAGTTGTTTTTGGACGATTTATCAAATTCGATTGCCAAAAAATAAAGAGTGATGTGTAAGAAGGTAAAAGAGTGTGAAAATCACTTCTCTTCACTAATAATTAAGTATTTGGAACTATTAGGTATTACAAATTCTTCATGAGATATGTAACAAAAAGTGAGCGCTATTGTTAGCACTTTAAAAAAGTTTTGTTATTGAAAAGTTATTTTATGAGCCTCAAAGCACAATTTTGATTTTTTTTCTTCTTAAGAGTGTATGACGACATTTTTAAAATGTCAATAACAAGTCACTATTTGTTATACTTACTGATTTATTTACAAGTTTTGCGCTTTACTCTAATGGAGGATAATTGTAGGATGTGAATGGCTGGTCGATCAACTGTATTGTTAGTCTAGAATTTTCAATATGGATGTTGCTATCTAGATATCTTTATTTATCTCACGCACACCCTCTATTAATTATTGTTCTTTGACCATCTTCAATTATTTGATCTGACGATCGAAAATCAAAAGATGTATACAGAGGTAAAATGGTCTTTTCAATACAAGTAGCAACAATCCCAAATCCAAGTCCCGGGTCCTAAGAACAATCAAATCAATAAGCCCAACTCTCAGTCAGTCAGAAGGACACATACGTAATTTTCCACTGGTACGACACCGTACCAACTAAAGAACAACAGAGACCTAACGCTATTTAAAATCCCTCATCTCCGAATTGAAAAAGTGGAGTTTAGGGTTTTTCAGCAGCCGGCATTTTCCTCTTCGCCTCACTCCTCACAGTAGCTTCGCTGCAGTCCAGAGTCCTCTTCTCTCAGCCGCCATGGGGTACCTAACACACACACTCTCTCTATCTTTCTCTCTCTCTGCAATCTCATATTTTTACTTGGAATAAGTTTATTGGCTCGGATTGGTTTTTCCCAAGCTTTGTGTGCAGCCAAACTGAAAATTTTCATGGTAAAAATCATAGCTTTAAAGAATTTCAATTAGGGTTCATGTTTTCGCAATGTATTTCTGTGTGGTTTAATCTTTTGTTTTCAATTTCTGTTTGGTTCACTAGAAAGCATTTGAAACAAAAGAGGATTAATTTAACTGTTAAAAGAGGTCGTAACATAGTTGCTTTGAATTATGCTCGGGTCAAACCGTCAAAGAGCTAAATCAAGCTTGGACAAAGCTTAATTTGTGTTTTGATTTGGGGCAATGAGATTAGGACATGCTTTTCTAAGGAAATATGATGTAATTTGAACAAATGTGGTTGAAGCCTTGATTCTTTTATTCGAGATCAAAGCAACATTGTATTTGTTAAGGTTCATCGGTTTTGTGATCAAGCCTCGTTAAGTTTACAGGCGATATGGTGTAGCATTCGTATTATGAATGATTGGGAACGAGTAGCGGTTGCTGTATGAGTGAATTGAATTTTATGCGGGCATTGATGTTTGATTGCACCATGGGGCATCGAATGGTTCGTTTGTCATTATACTCTGAACTAATTTGAAGTTTAGTGATTTTGTTGAATGCGAGAAAGCTTGAGCAGTTGGCTCTAAATTTTTCACTTGACTGATGCCTACATGATTGCATTGAACTTAACGGTGGGGAATTTTTGCTCCGTTGTCCTTGGGATTGGATTGCATTCTTTGGCTCTTGTAAACTGGTTTTTAAGTGAATTTATTTCGAGATTAAGAGATTGTGGGTGCTATGCAGGAAAACACGTGGAATGGGAGCTGCTCGTAAGCTCAAGACCCACCGCAGGAATCAGAGGTGGGCGGACAAGTCGTACAAGAAGTCCCACCTTGGAAATGAATGGAAAAAGCCATTCTCTGGTTCATCTCATGCCAAAGGCATTGTCCTAGAAAAGATGTAAGATCTCTATCTCTCCCTCTTTCTCTCAACATTGTGTTTTGTGTTTAATTCTACGTTTAGGTTTAATTGAATGGTTTCAATTGTGGATTGTTAATGCAGCGGTATTGAGGCTAAGCAGCCTAACTCCGCTATTAGAAAGTGCGCTCGTGTTCAGCTGATAAAAAATGGGAAGAAGATTGCTGCTTTTGTACCCAACGATGGTTGCTTGAACTACATCGAGGAAAATGTAAGTCTCATCATCTGCCCGGATGTTGGATTTAATTTCAAATCTCATTTCAACGATTGTGGTCTTCATCCGCAAAGTGTATTAAATCTTGAATAACAGTCTAGGAATCCTTGGTGAATGCCCGATATCGTCTCAGTTTTCTTAACTTAGCAGTATATATGTGATGTGGTTTGCGCAGGATGAGGTGTTGATTGCTGGATTCGGACGGAAGGGCCACGCTGTGGGAGATATTCCCGGAGTCAGGTTCAAGGTTGTGAAGGTATCCGGTGTCTCTCTCCTGGCCCTCTTCAAGGAGAAAAAGGAAAAGCCAAGGTCGTAAGCTTGTCAAGGAAGCTCATCTATGCCTAAGTCTCTGTCATTGTAGCGTAGTTTTTCGTTTAGATCATAGTTGTAACAACTTATCAGTTTCTAAGCAGTTCCTGTTATTCGAATCAGGAAGCATCCGCGCGAAACAGAATTTTGGAAATGGAGGTCTATCAAAATTTAATTTCGGATTTATCTATGGTTGTTATGCTGCAATGGTGTTTCAGGAATACGATGTATTGCGTGTGCTTATAAGTAGAGGTCATCTACAAAATGGAGTAATCTCACAGTTACAACCTCCGTTAAAACATCCAGTGACCTCTAAAATTCAATCATAAATTCTACAAATTCAAAGAAATAAAAATAGATAAAACTGCTTTATCCAACATACCCACAAAATATTCGGTCGAAAATAAGTGTAATCTGATTGCGCTTAAGAAATGATGAAGAAAAAATCGAACCTTTATGAAGAAAGCGAGAGGGTCTGAGTATCGGAAGGTCCAAGCGGCGACAGGTGCGAGAGTCACGAGGCTTCCAACCCGAACGCAAGGACAAGCCGTACTTTAGCCTAACGGAAGGGAAGGATATGAAAGGTGGCGGTTCTAAAAACTATAATTGGGCGCCCAAATTTTTTTGACAGTATAATATGCAAGTTGACATTTCATCGAGTTTTGGTGAGATCTTTTGTTAAGTCATATTGCACGCCTGTCGTCATATGCCAACAACTTTCGAATGAACATGTCAATTGATGTCAATAACTTTTGAGCGAGCATGTCGACATATGTCAAGATATGCTGATCAAGTCTATCGACATATGCCCATAACAGTGCATCCAAAGGCACGAGGCTAGCAGATGCTCTACCCAGTGTCATAGAGGTAATTCGTTGATAAATTAAAGGACAACTTTAAAGGGCATCTCAAATTTTCAAAGAGCAATATCCAACTCTTCCATAGAGGATTTGGGAGCTTTAGGAGGTTAGCTGACGCACCTTACCCTAAGGTGGATCCACCTAGGAAACGGTTGAACCCAAGAGTAGTGTGTTGAAGAGAGAACTCTACTTACAAGACAACACATTACTTGCAAAAGTAAATATAAGTTTACCTTCTCTTTTTAGGTAAGAAAATGAATTAATTCAAGAGAACTTTAACGAAAAGCTCCTGGTACTGTTCATTTTAACGAAAAACCATATTTTTACACTAAAAAGGCAATCATGGTATTATTTACTTTACGCTTTATTTTGTCTTATCGTTAAAACTCAAAATTTTCAAACCATTTTCATTAGTTTTCCTTTAATTTAAAGAGAAGTCTCGGTAGCACCCAAGACTTTAATGGTGAAGCTACAGAGGAACAAGGTGGGGCGTCCCTCCCCTCGCCAGAAATTAAGCCTAGAAACGGTGGTTCTGCCCCTATGGTTCCATCGGAAGTTATGGCTGTATGGCCTGTTTTCTGGGTTCCTGCTGCTGTGCAGCAGTGCTTTTATTTTTTTATTTTCTGGAAAATACTTAACCATACGATGTGTTTTAATTAGTTGGTTAAAATAAAATAATTGAAGTGGGATCACTGGTCCCCCGTCACCTCTGTCTTCACACGTCCCTCATGCCCTTTTGAAAACCAACGAAAAAGTAAAGGTTTTCCTGTTTTCTTTTTCCTTAATTTCTTAACTTATATTATAATTAACCCTAGTTGATTAATTAATATGAAATTTTGTTTAATTAACATAGAATCATGAAGTAATACACTAATATAGTTATTGATTACTGATTATTGATTATAGATATGAATCCAATAAATGATTATTGATGAATGAAACTGTTTTTTAGGGTAAAATTGAATTCTTGATTCTTGATTAATTGAATTGAATTTTGGTATATTGAATCATTTATGTGATTATTGGTATGGATTAATTGAATTGTTGGTTTAATTAGTTAGTAGTCATATGGTATATTTTACTCTAGGATTAAGAGTTTAAAATCGAGAGAAATTAGTGATTTTGCAAAGGAGTTGGTGAAGATCGGGAGGTGTGCAAGCTATATGATAGCGTATAAGCTTCTTACATTGGTTTTAGTGTTACTGGTTGCAACCGCTTCGGTGGAGAGAACTTTTTCTGCTATAATATTATGAAAGACCATTGCATACAAAATAGGAGATCAATGGTTAAGTAATAGCATGATTGTTTACATTGAAGGACACGTATTTGCTTTTATTGATAACGAATCTATTATGCGCATAAAATTTACTTATATACAAATCATTGCAACACAAAGGTAATGGCATCCGCATAAAGTTTACTTACGTAAACGTGGTTGAAATTTAGCTGGACACACTCTCTGTCTGCGTGAACAATTCCATGCATTGTATGCCATTATCATACATTGAGCTCACCTAATTCTCGACTATATAATTGCTGCACTTGAAACTGAGGAGGTGCTGCTCCTATTTATAGGTGAAATGATCCGAAATCTCTTCTTCCTCATTGGATGAAATGGGTGGCAAAAACTCCAGATTGGATAGGTTTATAATCAAGAAGGTTCTACTCTGCCATGAAAACGTGCATAGTATTAGCTCCACCTCAAACAATTAAAATCCTCTCATGCTAATATAAATACTTGCTTAATCGTAAAATTGCCAACACTAAATTTAACTTACCAATTCATCTAATCTATATATATACTCATTTGAAAAATACGGGTTCTCATAGTGACACATGTTATAAATTAGCAAAACAAAGGTTCAAAATTCTCCCCATTCAATAAAAAAAAAAACAATTCAATATATCATTAAATGAATGAATAATTATTTAATTAGAGCTTGTGACTTGAAACAAGATTGAATGGGTTTTAAGAACTTATTCAACAACTTTGTAGCGAGAATTTAGTTACTGAAAAATGCTACATTTTAGAAGCCAAGTGTTCAATCTCATTTGATAACTACTTTTCATTTTCAGTTTTTTGTTTTTGTTTGAGTGTTTAATCTCGTTTGCTAATTACTAACAGTTTTCGAATCTAAATTTTAAAAACTAAAAAAATAGCATTCAATTTTCATTTTTCTACTGAAAAACTGGTTTCAATTAAAAAAATGGCCACTTAGAGACCATTAAAAAAATAATAAAAAAAACCCTTGGAAAATTGGATTTTCTCTACCTCCATAAAGCAACGAAGAATCGTTTTTAAGTTTTCCTGTACACCAAATTTTCTGATTTTATTCTTGGGTGCGAGCAATAAACAATCTCTCTGCTTTGGAAGAACTATATATGCTTAGTTGTGGACTCAATCACATTCCCCCCGCTACCTGATCTTTCCGAAAACAGACTTAATTCTTTGATGCCTAGGTGGGTTTTCAGTCTTAGAAATCTAGTTTCTCTTTACTTTATCTCAGAGAGTGTGATCTCTAGCAAGCGGTTCTTTATCACAGTGGTGAAGAGATGTTGAGCTCTTATATAACGACATAAGTTCGAACCTCGTCGATGACTATTTTAATATTTAATTTAACAAAATCTATCGTTTTCCAAAAAAAAAAGAAAAAAAAAAAAGAATGTGATCTCCAAGGTTCAATTTCTAGCCATCCACATAATATCACTCCTCTCAATTGGTGACTCTTGATTTGTGATTGAACAATTTCAATGGAAACGGATCAACAATCTTTGTGAGTTTCTCTCTGTGTAGTTGAAATCGAATAGAATCATTGTCGTTACAGTACAATAATCTCTCATTAAACAGGGAACGTAGAAAATATTAGAAAATCAAGCCACCTTGATCATTCTGCTAATCAATATCAGATCCCATTCCAGTTTCTTTGGGAAATTTAACAGGCCTAGAGGAATTACGGATGTTTTCCAATCATTTTAAAGGACATTTACCAAAAGTACTAGCATTGGCAAAATACCCTTGGATATGGGTAACCACGGTTGTTCATCCATTTACACTTGAGACTTGACGATTACGGTTATGGGTATTGTTTTAACCAGTGGAGTCTTAATTAAACTAATCATTCCTTCAACATGCATTTTCTCAAAATAACAATAAATTAATTATTTTGGTGTTCAGATGAGTGATTAATTATCATATGTTCATGACTTGGATTATAGTAAATAAACACGAGCTAAATCCATTTATATATATATATGCTCCTCTGTGTTCTTGCTAGCTATATAGTTGTTGCTAAATGTGAATCCAATTAGTTTGTATTTTTACTAAATAATTGGTTTATAATTACTGATGTAATATATACATATATAGTGTATAAATATAGTGCAATACTTACATCTTTTGGTTTTTGTGTGGTGATGTGCAGTAGTTGGTAAATGAGACTCAAAGCGAAAACCAAAATAATGAACCAGTTAATCTTGATCAAAATTTGGACCAAAGTGAATCTAGCTTGGATGATGATTCTGGTGGGAAGAAAAAAAAACCTCAATTGTCGGTTAGCATTTAAAGGAAAAATGGTTTCGTGAGGAGGCAGTGGCGGAGCCACTTGAGAACCAGGAGAGGCACGGGCCTACATGAAATCCTTCTGCTTGTGTGCTTGGAACTTATAAAGATGTTCAATGCTTATTATATAATTATCTCAATGTTAATTTTTTTTTTCGTGACTCCATTACTCTCTTTGATTAAAAATTTTCAGTCCAATACAAAAAAATCAGATGAACCTTCAATGTTGGTACTTCATCTTTATGTTCACATGTCAGAGCATGTCCTGTATTGAAGACAAAGAACAGGAGTCCAGTGTATACCTGGTGATAAGTCTGTTAAACATGCTGCATATAGTTTTGATGAAGATAAATGTACCTATAAATGTTTAATTGTTAGAAAAAGAAAAGTGTGACAGAATTTCTTCTCATCTTTAACTTGTTTAAAAAGCAGATGTGTGGTTACAGTTAAATGAGTATGTTTAACCGTTTATAAATGGTTATAGTTACGGTTAACCGTTTATAAATAGTTATGAATACAAATATACCTGTTTATGCAATTACTCAATGAATAAATAGTTATGTAAGTAAAAATTTAAACAATTATAGATAAATAATCGCGGTTATCTATCCGTCACTCATATCTATGCCTATGCCAACGTATGGGCATTATCGATTTTTACCACATCATTTATGCGTCCCTATTTTCACTCGCCTTTGCTGTCAAGTGAGGTTTTCGTTCAGAAAAAAAAAAAAAAAAAATTGCCCCGCACGTGTTCGAAAACCATATCACCACTCCAGAGCAAAGCGCCATAGCCCGCCTTCTGGTCCTGTCCTCCTCCTTGTTCTTCACGAGTCAGTTCGCCCATTAATTATCATGCCTCGTGAGTCAGAACGGGTTGACTCGCCCCGAGTGTTGATGTTCAGCGTTAGGATGGCTCAGGCTTCAAAGCATGCATGGTTTGGAACTTGGATTCAGAAGAAAAGAGGAGCAAGTTTCTTCAACTTCAATCAGAGGCTGAGCTCATTTGTTGGTAAAAGAATCAATATTTAAGAAAAATATATAATAGGGGTGTGATATTCACACACCCCATTTTCTTTTCACAGATCCTTCTAATTTTCGGCTGTCGGATCGAATGAATTGAAGAAAATCAACTGATAAAAATTAACAAAAGGTGTGTAAGAAGTAAAATGAGATGTGTGGATAGTACACCCCTATTTAATATATGTGGCTATATTGCATGAGTTGTTTATAACTTTTGTCAACAAAGTTGGTCCCCAATACGAATAGGCCTCATTTGATATAGATGATTAAATTGAAATGAATAAACTATCATTACTTACAAAGAAAACTTATTCATTCAAATCCTCTCAAAATGGTAGGATTATTAGACGGGAGAAGTTTCCTTCAACATGAAAAATCATTCTCCTCTGTACTCAATATTTCTAGAATGTTATTAATTCCAATACAATCTTAGAGACCAAACGAGGCATGTCTTCAATGCTCATTGGTCATACTTCACACAACTTAACTTGATGAGATCTGTTTTACTTTCTGATCATTTGAGTGAATACTTCCTTGTGAACTTGGAAATCTCTCAAGTCTACGTGTTGTGTACCTCAGCTGTACAGTTCAACCCTTTTTATCATCTTTGAGCAAGAAAAGCCAAAGCTTTAATTAATTATTCTGTTTGAATTTTCATGCATTCATCATATGGAATATATAAAGAGTTTTGGGCGAAATTTTCCACAAAAAATTGATATTGTCAACTTTTTTGCATTGTCCAACATTCAACGAGAGTCGGAAGGACTCATTCATCGGCATGGAGTAAAAAAAAAGCGTACGTTCTCTTGCCGTTTGAGTGTGGTTTAGACCAAATGCAGTCATGTATTAGCTCATATGGGAACAGGTCAACTGGCCTTCATTAGACTCAATATATGTTAAATTTTAATGAGTATTTCAAATTAAAAATAAGGCTTATTTTTAACAGTCCTTCGGGACTCGATTTTAATTCACTTTGCCTCATGTAACTTAAAAGTTACCATTTTATTTTCTAAAACTCAAAATTCGTTCAACTTTGACCGTTGAACTCTCTCTTCTCCATAAAACTCATAGGTCGGCTCATGAAACAAATGTGGAACCCAACCCCTAATAAGATTTTTTTTAACGTATTTAAAGAGTTTTTGGCCAAATTTTCCACAAAAAATTTGATATTGTCAACTTTTTTGCATTGTCCAACATTCAAAGAGAGTCGGACGGACTCATTCATGGGCATGGAGTAAAAAAAAGCGTACGTTCTCCTGCCGTTGAGTGTGGTTTAGACCAAATGCAGTCATGCATTACCTCATATGGGAACAGATCAACTGGCCTTCATTAGACTCAATATATGTTGAATTTTAATTACAAATAAGGCTTATATTTAGCTACGTCATTCGGGACTCGATTTTAATTCATTTTACCTCATGTAACTCAAAGGTCAACAGTTTAGTTTTATTAATTAATGTGTATTTTATTCAATGTCTCCTTATTAAATATTTGAATTTATTAATTTACACATTAATTTTTTTTTTATACCAAAATGTATATATCGAACTGTATTATATTGAATTAATATACCAAAATGTATGTACCAAAATAATATTATATTGAATTAGTATACCGAAATGTTTGTACCGAAGTGTGTAATGAAATGCATGCACGAAATGTATTATAGTTTAATCCATCTTATCATCTATCAAATTTTTATCAAAGATTTCAAGAGCTGGCCGTATAGTTTAATCCATCTTTTCCTGTCATTGATAACGAAAAAGAGAGGTTCGCTAGTATATCTACTCTGGATGGTTCATTGCTCGTACACATCACCTGCTTCATAGACTAAAACTTCATGGAGAGAAGCATGAGGGTTGTTTTACTACTAATCAGGTTTCTAGCAGCTATTGCGACCATTACTTTCAGTTTTGGTTTATGCAATGGAGATCCCGCTTGGCCTCCACTCTGCAAAGACAGCGAAAGACAAGCACTTCTGATGTTCAAGCATGATCTCAAGGACCCTGCTAATCGGCTTTCATCGTGGGTTGCAGAAGAAGATTCAGACTGTTGCAGTTGGACAGGAGTTGTCTGTGGTAACATAACCGGCCACATCCACGAGCTGCACCTTAATACTGACTCTTATTTGGATCTCGACTCTTGGTTCGGCAGGTAAGATAAATCCTTCTTTGCTTAGTTTAAAGCATCTCAAATACTTGGACTTGAGTAACAATGATTTCAGTACAACACAAATTCCTAGTTTCATTGGTTCTATGAGAAGTTTAACACACCTTAATCTCAGATACTCAGGGTTTGATGGAATAATTCCCCATAAACTGGGAAATCTCTCCAGTCTACGTTATCTGTCTCTCAATGGTATCAATCTGAAGGTAGAGAACCTTCAGTGGATTTCTGGTCTTTCTCTGTTGAAACACTTAGACTTGAGTTCTGTAGATCTTAGCAAAGCATCTGACTGGTTGCAAGTTACAAACATGCTCCCTTCTTTGGTAGAGTTAAATATGTCCGATTGTGAACTTCCTCTCATCCCCCCTCCACCCACCACAAATTTTACTTCCCTGGTCGTCCTTGATCTTTCTGGAAACAGTTTTAATTCTTTGATGCCAAGCTGGGTTTTCAGTCTTAAAAATCTAGTCTCTCTTCATCTCGTTGCTTGTGATTTCCAAGGTCCATTTCCAGGCATTTCACAAAATATCACATCTTTGAGGGAAATTGATTTGTCAGACAATTCTATTAGTCTTGACCCAATTCCGAAATGGCTGTTTAACCAAAAAGACCTTGCATTGACTCTAGAAGGGAATCAACTTACAGGACAACTTCCAAGTAATATTCAGAATATGACTGGTCTTAAAGTTCTTAATCTCGGATGGAACTACTTCAATTCAACCATTCAGTTTCCACCATACCTGAATGGTTGTATAGCTTGAACAATCTCGAGTCCTTAGTTCTTTCTCACAATGCCTTACGTGGTGAAATATCGAGTTCCATTCGAAACTTGACATCCATTGTCGATCTTCACTTAGATGATAATCATTTGGAAGGGAAAATCCCAAAATTTTTGGGACATCTTTGTAAGTTGAAAGTTCTTGACCTGTCAGAGAACAATTTCATGGTTCAAAGAGCATCTGAAATCTTTGAAAGTTTGTATGGGTGTGGTCCAGATAGAATAAAGTCATTGTTGTTGAGGGGTACTAATATATCAGGTCCCATTCCAATGTCTCTAGCAAATCTGTCAGGCTTAGTAGAATTGGACATTTCTGGAAATCAGTTTAATGAAACTTTCACAGAAGTTATTGGTCAACTCAAAATGCTAACGGATTTGGATATATCTTATAATTCGTTAAAAGGTGTAGTGTCAGAAGCCTTTTTTAGCAACCTTACAAAATTGAAGCATTTCATTGCAAACGGAAACTCATTTACTCTCAAAACTAGTCGAGATTGGCTTCCTCCTTTTCAACTTGAAAGTTTGCAATTGGATTCATGCCTCCTGGGACCTGAATGGCCAATGTGGCTTCAGACACAAACGCAATTAACAGATCTCAGCTTATCTGGTACAGGAATTTCAAGTATTATTCCAACTTGGTTTTGGAACTTATCTTCCCACTTACGTTATTTGAATCTCTCTCAAAATCAATTGTTCGGGGAGATTCAAAATATAGTTGCTGGTCCTTTTTCAGTGGTTGACCTTAGTTCTAATCAGTTCACTGGTGCATTGCCTTATGTTCCCACCTCATTATATTGGCTAGATCTTTCCAGTTCATCATTTTCTGGATCTGTTTTCCACTTCTTCTGTGATGGGACAGATGAACCGAAGCAACTCTCTCTTCTTCATCTGGGGGACAATCATCTCGCTGGAAAAGTACCCGATTGTTGGATGAATTGGCGCAACTTGGTATTCCTAAATTTAGAAAGTAACCACCTAACAGGGAAAGTCCCAATGTCCATGGGATACTTGCACAAGCTGGAATCGCTGCACTTGCGCAATAATCTCCTGTACGGAGAATTGCCACATTCACTACAGAACTGTACCTGGTTGTCAGTTGTTGACCTTGGTGGAAATGGGTTTGTCGGAAGCATACCAATATGGATAGGGAAAAGCCTTTCAGGGTTGAAAGTTCTTAACCTTCGATCGAATGAGTTTGAAGGAGACATTCCTTATGAAGTTTGTTATTTGAAAAAACTCCAGATATTGGACCTTGCATGTAACAAACTCTCAGGAACGATACCCAGATGTTTCTACAATTTGAGCGCCATGGCTAATTTGTCAGAATCATCTTTGTCAGATAATTATGAGATTGTTTTTGGGGCTTATTTAACGACTGATTTTGGGACTCATACACTTCTAGAGGATGCAATCTTGGTAACGAAAGGGATAGGAGTGGAATACAGCAAGAATCTGAGATTCGTAAAAAGCATGGATCTTTCATGCAACTTTATGTATGGAAAGATCCCTGAAGAACTTACCCACTTGCTCGCATTGCAGTCACTCAATTTATCGAATAATACTTTCACCGGAAGAATTCCTTCAATGATTGGTAATATGGCACAGTTAGAATCTCTTGATTTTTCCATGAACCAACTCCATGGTGAAATTCCTCCAAGCATGACGAATATGACATTTCTGAGTCACTTGAACTTGTCATACAACAATTTGATAGGACGAATTCCGGAAAGCACTCAGCTGCAGAGCCTTGACCAGTCTAGCTTCATCGGCAATGAACTCTGCGGACCTCCGCTCAACAACAATTGCAGCGTGAATGGAGTGATACCGCCACCAACAGTTGAGCAAGACGGAGGAGGAGGATACCATATACTCGAAGACGAGTGGTTCTACGTGAGCATTGGGCTTGGATTCTTCACAGGGTTTTGGATTGTGCTTGGTTCTTTGCTGGTAAACATGCCATGGAGCATTCTTCTTTCAGGATTACTCAATAGGATAGTGCTTAAACTGTATCATGTAATTGTTGAATATGTTTAGCTTTATTTTATGTTTGTTGGCATTTTCCTTCTTGTGACAAATATGCCAGTATGGTTGTATTGTATGATTTTGTCAAGTTTCATCTTTTGTTTGATTGTATTTTTCTTTACTTTGTTTTAAAAATATTTTACTTAGTTTTAAAAATATTTTCTTATGAAATTAAAAGACATGTTTTATTCAGTAAAAACATATGAATGACATGGAAAATGTGTGAAAACGCTTTTTTTTTGCATTACACGGCGTATAGAATTTTTTTTCCCTTTTTACATTTACTCAACGCATAAAAGAAAAAACAAGAAAAAAAATTGTACGATGAGCACTATAATTTAAAAAAAAATGTCTTTACGCGTAAATAAACTGAAAAAGAAAAAAGAACTGTACATGGCTAGTAGATAATAAATAGAGAGGAAAGAAATGAATGCCTGAGCCATAAGGCAATGATCAAACATTGAAGACAAATCAACTAGAGATATAGACGACATACTGAAAAACTATCATTCCATCAATTGGATTCAATAAATGAGCATGTTCGCCAATTTCCATTTTTTTGGAAAAAATAAAGCTAATAAATAATTACAAACAAGTTTTTAGTTTATAAATTAAAAAACCTGAAACTAAAAACCGAAAACAAAATTGTTGTTAAACAATCCCTCTCAAGTGTAGGATTACCAAAATTTAGTTGGTGTTTTTATACGGATCCACAGCCTGCAGAATCCCGAATTCTTGAAGGCAATGAAAGTGATAAAGCATTACAAGTTGATGAAAATCCATCATACGTCTATAACTTTATATGGATATGGTACTATGCACTTTTTTTTTAATTTATGTTGTTGTTAATATTATTTTTATTTAATAAATGATAGCGCTAGTATAGATTAAATTTTAAATATTAAGAAAAAAATATACGTGAAGATTGAACCCGTACAAAAATGTATAAGCATTATATATCATTTTCCGCCTCCATCTGCAAAAATGCTATTATGTTGTTTGTACGGAAATTGAGGGATTTGAGGAAAAAAAAAGTTTTCAATAATGATCAATGAACTAGATATATATACCAAAGTTTGTACATAAGAACTATATTCAACTTTGACATGGAATTCATGTTTAAATTTGGAATATAGGAAGTCACGCGGAACTCATGTATATGAATTTGGAATGTAGCAAGTCACACACAGAAACTGTAACTTCTTTCCCCGCCCTGATATGTCGTTCTTTTTTTTCACAAGGAAAAAACTTTACATTACTAAACAGGAGGAGAAACATCTTTCTCTCCTTCCGTTATCAATGTTGTGAACAAACTTCTTACCATTACAGGAAAAAAACACTGATACATTACTACAACATTGACAGAGTACATGAAGTTTTGTTCACAGGAAAAGAAAACATTCTATGAAATATGAAATATCATCAAAAGCGAAAAAAGAAAAAAAAACATCAAAGCAAAGATTTCCTTCTTAGTGATTATTATTTTTAAATCTAACTGTTCTAACTTTTAGTATCTTAAATATATAAACAAATCGACCACCCTCCTAATCACGAGTCTCTCATTTGAAACAAGTTAGAGAGGATTCGGTTTATTTGCTAAAGGTTGAAGCCAAAAAACGATGACATCTAGACAAGGCGTTGAGAAAAGCTACGGAAGAGGATGAATAAGAGTAAGAAGAGGATGGCTACGATTAAACATTAACATAACTAGAGCACGAGTGTGACCGAGCAAAGCTCACGGTGCATTGTTGGAAAATATCTAAAATGTTAGTTTCTTTATTGAAAATTGCGGACTATGTGGTTCAACGTCTTGGATAATCGCTCAAAAATGAAATCTAAAGTAGAATTGTATAAACATAAACAAACACGCCCATATCCTTTATATCTTCCATTTGACAAACACATTTAGTTTGCCCCAATATCTCACACAAATCAAGATGTTTAAATGGAGTGCAAACATTTTTTTTTTGTTAAGAGAAAGTGTTACTTTAACCTTATATACAAGAAATAGAAAACAATAAGCACTGCAATCTTTTCCTTCACACTGTTCATACGTTCCGTGATCACGAGACCACAACATTTTCGTTTTGTTTGTTTACAAGACTAGAGCGAACAGTTTACTTGTGAGGTTTTAAAAACCTGGTGGTCCTTTACCACAATGGTAGAAATATGTTGTGCATTTGTATGACAGCGTGAGTTGGAACCCATTAGTGTCAAATCTAATTTCTAATTTAATGACAATATCGCTCAACTAAAAAAAAAAAAAGGAAAAAATTGAAATTAAAAAGGAAAAGTTAAGATCCTGGATTAAAAAAAAGACGAACATACATTGAACAAACTAAACACCCACACTTATTGTTCTTGACGATCCAAATTAAGCTTCAACCGATTCATCCGACGAGTACATATAATGCGTATATGATTCCAGGTATGTATCCCAATATTGTCAGCAACAAACATATCCAGAACTCCACCTGCATTCACCCACAATAATTAACACCAACATACAATTAATCGAAATCAAAATATAACCTTACAAAATATAAAAATAAACGAGGAATTGGTTAAAATGATCGGAAATCAAATTTCAATTGCTCAACTGTTAAAATTGATATCGACGACACACTGATAAACGATTCATTTCGGCAACTGAGATTTGAAAAATGATCGTTCCCGGACGAATTCTCAAAAATGAAACGGGATTTGGGGAAAATAGGGTGAAAGAAGCACTCACTGCGCAGCCATAACGAAGGAAGACTCCCACAGGTGGGAGGATGATTGCCAATATCACTTCCAGAAACGTTTCTGAACCCATTTTTCTGACGATTGAAAAATGAAAACCACAACTTGTGCTAAATATGGGTGACGATTTTGTGCTTTACATTTACTTCGCTCAAAGTGTGGATTTATATAAGAGAAGCAAATAGGCAAAGTCACAGTTACTAATAGGTGTCACAGCCTAGAAATCTTGTCGCCACGTGGGATGTAAAGAGATCGACACGTGTCAAGATCAAGCTTTGCTGTTGGTTTTCCATGCACTTTTGATCCACGGGAAGTATTATAAACTTTGTGCAACATGTTGGGCGGAGGAGGGACACTTCTGCGTTCACCCTCCGTATTTGGGATATATTATATAGGTCAAATTTTTTTTTGTGATCTTTATGATGATATTCTACTTTTAAATAGATTTTATGGTGAAAATGTTATTAATTGTAATTCTGTGGTGAAATTTGTTATCAATCATAGTTCAAATTGGATTTTTCCTCATTCTTTTGTTATTTTCGTTTTTATTGATTCCATCAATCAATCATAAAGCGCCATATGGATATAAATTTTTTTATTTTTAAAAATTTTAGAGTTACAATAAAAGAATAAATAAACAATAAAATTGCAAGGTTCATATTATCAGACATTTTCAATTTCAAGAGAGCCAACCGTCCAAATTCAAGATTTAAAAAATCACAAAGTACCTTACTGTGTTTAGGTTAAAATATAAGTTATTATGCAAACATTGAATTGAGTTTCATTTTAAGAAGAACATTGGCGGACGGGATGGCTAGGGTTATGTGAGAGAGAGAGGGGAAGGTGGTGAGTGGCCGCTGTGGCTGTGGCTGACAAGGGTAGGGATTGGGGAGGGATTTCTTTTTTTTTTTTTTTTTTCCTTTTTGTTTTGTTGACTATAAAAAAGTGGAATTACCAAATAAAAAAGTGGAATTACCAAAAAGAAAAGAAAAAAAGAATGGAATGACCCTTTTACCCCTGCAAGTGGATGAGATCTTGACATAAATTTCAATTTGGACTACGATTGATAACGAACTTTATTACAGAGATCGATTTAAAAGTAGTGTCTCACCACAAGGATCAAGAAAAAAAATTTAGCCTTATATATATATATATATTATACAATGCTAAATTAAGAAAAATTGTAAAAAATGTGAAATAGGGTAAAAGTACTGATTTGATTCAGCTGCTGCAGCAGAACTTATTTCTTTTGGAACATATAACCTTTCAAACAAATTTTCCGTTCCAATTTTTGGTAGCAAAAAAAAAATATATACATTTAATTATTTTTATGAAAGCCCAAATAATAATCAAGGCTGATAAACGTCGGGAAGTTGAAGCCCCACGCTTGCAGCTGATTTTCCAAGCACTCTCTTCATCTCATCTGTTCTATCCACAGCAATGTTGTAAGAGAACAAGTCCTGCACAACAAATACACAAAATTAGAGGCTTTAGCGGAGATAAAACGACAACGTTACGATGCAGCTATAGGGCTTCTTCGATAACAAGTTACTGGAGCAGAAACTAGTGCTTGCTAGGAGGCACAGCGGTGAAAGAAGCTGTGTACTCAGCCTGGACGAGAATACTAATTTACTCCATATTTGTGCATTAAAAGGGCAGTCAAGCGCAATGGTAATAGAAGACTCTAACTGCAGATATTGAACTAGTAAACAAGTCTAATGGCACATCTAGAACTTGATGCAACTAAAAGGAAACCATTTCAGTATCTGTTTATCCTACGACACAAGACATGTATTCAATCCAGCAATCACGAAAGCGGCCCAATATAATGAAACATCACAAGAACTTTGCAAAAAGTAAAAAAAAACAAAGGAAAGAACTTTGATTAGGGCAATGAAGGTCTGCAGTACCTTGTGATGGTGCACACTATTGAGAAGTAAAGTGTAGTTCTCGGCAAGCTTCTTACGCTGAATGGAAGATGGGTCTGACAGTTTGCAGTTGTTCCTAAATTCTTCAGTTGCGTACTTTATAAAATGCCTCTTATTCTCTTCTTTCGCAACGTGTTTCTTCATGGCCTTGAGAAGGTGACGGTACACCTTAGCAACTTGCAAAGCCTTGCCGCTCATTTTCAACCTTTGTCTCAAGCTTATACTATCTTTTCTATATCTCCACCCTGCACCAGGAACCAGATGTTTTCTTTTCACAAAAAGGGTTGAACGTTTAGTTGATATCGGAAGCAAGTCTTTCAAACTCCATGAAAAACACTAGAAACTTCTTATATAAGGAAAAGACACCAAGACAGTAAAAATTTGAACAAGGCTAATGAAAAGAAAGTAAAATTCAACAACAATAATATTGCTTGAAGATCTTCATAAGGAAAGGAAGAAAAAACCCACAAAAGTAGCATAGCCATGAAGGTGTAATTTCATGATATTTTCATAACATAAACTGCTTGTAATTTCATTCATTTCTGTGCCATGAAGTCGTTATATATCACAAGGTTTGGAGGGGGTAACGACAAAAGGGCAAGAGGTATACAGACACTACTAACCGAATGGCTGCACAATTACAAATCAGAAATGCAAAATTCTACCGCTTGTAACTGAGATATAGCAGCAAAACAAAGTGTCACCACTGCCAAATTGCTACCTGGGTCCATGAAAATGGCTACACCTAATCCCCCATAGGAGAAGAACCTCCTCGAGTCTGGATTCCACGGTGGCGGTCTCCCAATTCAATCACGCAATGCCATGTGCGAAAGAAAACACATGATAATGCATGATTGACTTGAAATACAACCACTGTGCCAATCGTACCATCATATGCGGGTAAGTTTCTCTCCATCCCACGACTCTACGACTAATGTAGGCTAATGGGTAAGCCAAATTAAGCAAAAGGAACAAAATAAAGTTGCTACTGCTATCTATTATAAAAACAAAATTTGATTGTATTAGTTTTTTTTTTTTTCCACAAATTAGAGTACTTGGCATTAAAATGAATTTGATTAATAATCACAATATAAATTTATATAATGTAAAATGTGCTATGTTATTTGATGTATGTAGCACCACTCTTAATTATTTCAATGATGTTGTGCTTATGCGCCATCTGTTGTAACAATAGCAAGTTTTTTATTTGTGACACATAAATAACTTTAACAATCTGTGAAGATAATAACTTATACAAAACAAATTTATTATCACTTTAACATTTCAAGCAAACAACGTACAATCATTTGTAAAAGTTTTTACATAACACTTAATTATTGAACTATGACGACACGTAGCAATTTCGATTATAGAAAGTATAGGTGTCAAAATTTGAGTCTTATATTGATTAAAATAAAATAAAATTGGTTTGGGCTTAAATGTTAAAATAATGTTCATGTGTTTTAGTCATTGGGTTAATCTAGTTGATGTGTTTTCAAATTGACCAATTTGATCCTTGTATTTATCTCCATTGGCCAATTAAGGATTTTCCATTCAATTTTTGTAAAAAAAAAAATAATTGTTATAATTTATTTGATTTAAATGAAATAAAACTAGAAATTAAAATAAATATTATTCTCCTCCCAACTCTCCGACACTCCCCCCCCCAAAAAAAAAAAAAAATCACCCCCCTCTTTTCTATGTCACAACTTTAATCATTTTTTAGACTAAAAGTTTTATTTCTTATATGTATTATATTTCATTGATTTGCATTTTTCTGTAAAAAGAAATGATAATTATTTCTCATATGATTTTTCTTATGAAATTTTTATAAAATATTGAATGAAATGTCCTTAATTAGTTAACAGAAACAAACCCGAAAACTAAATTAGCCAAATTGAATACACGGAGATTAAATTAGCCATATGACTATAACACAGGGATCATTTTGATATTTAAGCCATGGATTTTTATAGGAGTGTGCTATTCACACACCCTTGATAATTTCTGTCCGTTGATCTTCTTCAATTTATCCGATCCAACGGTCGAAAATTAAAAGAGTGTGTGAGAAGTAAAATAAGATATGTGATATCACATCCTTTTTTATATTAAGGGGTGTAGATGTAATTCAGCGTAACTACCAAACCCGGATTCGTTTTGTGTGTTTCGAGTTGGAGAGAGTACAACGTTTGCTTACTTTGAACTCGACGCTCCCAGAAATTGAGACCATCATCATGTCGCGGGAGAGACCCAAAAGAGGCGCATTGCCTCCCGCCCAAGAGGTACGCTACCCGAAATCGTCCTTTCAACTTTCTCGGTTTCTTGTGAAAACGAAGAAAAAAGTTTGGATCTTTGCTCAAGTTTTGCTCTAGTCTTTGCTTCCACGATTCGAAAACGTTTCAATTAAATAAATCCATGTGGCGGGTTTTGTTTTCTGTACTGAAAATTAATGCAATTTCTCAGATTTGAGATTCTGATTCGTAATTTCTCTACTTTTGAAAGAATTGTGATAGATGTGATCAGCACTGTTTTGTGCTGTTTGATTTGGACTGTGATGTGCTCAGCGTTAATCGTATTTGCAGATTCTAGTCCATAAAGCTGCTTTTGGCTTTTGGCTTTTGTTGTATAAACGTTTAATTTCTTCTACAAAACGTTTTTGCTTTAGATTTCCTACATTCAAAGTAACAATTGCAGCCTGAATTTGGTTGTTGAGATTATGATGACACGATAATTCTTGTTTCGATGTTCAGTGTTTTGTTTCTTTGATGTTCGATGCTTAGTTTCAATGCAGAACAGATATCAGTTGCATTCTATCAGCAACGGTTTTAGGAAGGAAGGGTTCCAATTGCCTTTTTGTTTATCTACTTTAAATGCAGAATATTCAGAAATTAGAGAAAGTTGTAGAGGAAGGTAATTTCTATGGAGCTCAACAAATGTACAAATCAATTAGTGCAAGGTACGAGTGATATGCTCTTTATAATTTCTACTTACATAGTTTCTATTATTTAGTTTCGGGACTCAAGAGTATGATCAATCAGGGAATCTTGGGAATTGTAGTGACAGAAATTCTCCAATGTGGGATCAATCTTAAGGGATGTGAGTGCCCGGTTGATCGGCTGGGTTCACATCTAGCTAGGCTTTTTCCGCATTGGAGAAAGCCTCATTTTATGTAACTGTCAGCATGGCTGTTGAGGAACCCAGTAACCCACTTTCTTCCTTTGTTTTTTTTAAAGGCATGCACCTTGATCAATATGGCTGCTTTATTGCAGATATGTAGCTGCTCAGAGGTTTTCCGAGGCTGTGGATATCCTTCAGTCCGGCGCATGCAACCAACTGAATCATGGGCAGGTCATTACTTTCATGGTTCTGCTTCATCAATACTTATCTTACCTTTAGTTGAGATACAAACATGCAGAAAATATAACATGACATTTCATAATCAAATCTGTATTACTGATTCTGTATTACGGAAACAATTTCAGGTTACTTGTGGTGCTGAGTTAGCTGCTTTGTTTGTGGAAACACTTGTCAAGGAAGATTCCCTTATGACGATGAAACCTTAGGTGAGTTGTTATCTTAGGTATAGAATTCATTTCTCGATTGATTCACTGTTGGCTTGTTCTTATCTTCTGTAGTAATTTTAAATGCTTTGGAACTTTATCTTGGTTGGTTCTAGTCACATGGTTCTTCTAGCAGGTTCTGTTCGTATCAGAATATCAGTGTTATGATAAATAGAATTTTTGGAAATGAATCATGATTCACATGTTTTCCTGGCCATTTTTGGCGTTTCGGTCTTTCTTGTATTATGATTCTTCTATTTCGTCGTGATTATGACAATTTTTTGTCAGTTCGTGTCAGGAAAATTTATAAAGCATTTCCTCGGATACCTGTGCCGCAACAGTTAGGGGATTTAGATGACATGCAACAACTGTCTGAAACACTTGGGGCAGCAAAAACATGTGTTGAGGGCTGCTCATCATTCCTAAAGGCTGCTCTTAAGTGAGTTTTTGTGCAATATTTTACTTTTCCCAATTTTGAAAGACATTTTATGGTTATGTTTTTGGTTTTTTTTTTTTATGCAGGAGTGAAGATATTTGATTCCTTTCTATCATGACTATTCAATGCTATATGATATTCTTGTGCTTTTTTTTTCTTTTGTTTAATCCATGCTATTTAACTCTAACTAAGCGTTTGGTTGGTGGGAAAAGGGGCTTGAGAAATCGTTTACTTTCCCATGTTGGATAAGTGCAAGGAAGTGAAGATTTTGTCATAAATGCTAAGGGAAAGAAGATAATGCTGTTACTTATAGCCTTTTAACGGAAGCTATTCCTCCATCCCGGAGCCCCGCTTTTTCCAACATTTATTAGCATTTTTATAGATATTCAGGACAAAATTGGTCTCATTAAATATTGAAAAACCAATTATACCCACAACCGCACTTCATATTCAACTTTTTCCCCCAACTTATCCCTATTAAGGAAAATATCAATTTTGATTCTTTACATCCTAGTTAAATTCGTGATTGTACAAAATATGTGTGTACCTGATGAGCACACGCAATATGTATTAAATATGCGCCTTACTTATATCAGATCCCAGAGTGTCATCGAGCACTGAAAATGCGTTGCTGTTTCTCTCTTTTCAGGTGGTCTAAGGAGTTTGGTGCACCCAGGAGTGGAGCTCCAGAAATACATGTTATGCTAGCGAACTACATATATTTTGAATCTCCTGAGGTGGTAAGTAGCACCTTGATATATATGTGTTTGTATATATACATTTATATATCTATATCTATATCTATACATATTCAATCTTTGTATTTAGCTCGCAAGTGCATACATCTCATGCATAGTCTCCATATCTAGAATTTGGGAGTTCCAATTTTTGTCCACCTTTCACAAATAACTGCTTTTTAATTGCTAGTAGGGTCAAATGGAATATTGGACCAACTTGATTTTGGCCAACAGATCACTATTTATACACATTTATTTACTGTCGTTTTCTACTTGAAAATGTTGGAATCATTTTTTTTCTCATAGGTTCTTTATACTGTTCAAGCTATTCTTGTATTCACTTGTTCTAATGTACTTGAATTTGAAACGTGTAACCAAAAGGTCCAGTTTATACCTTGAGTACTTTTGACTCTTGCTATTAGCGTAGAGTGAACACCAGTATCTCGTTTGATTGCTTTACAGGACATGGTTAGAGTGTCACATCATTTTGTTAGAGGAAACAACCCCAAAGAGTTTGCTTCGACTTTAGTAAATTTTATGGGCAAGGTGAGGCTTTTTCCCCCACTTAACACTTGAAATCAATTTTCAAAAATTCGGAAAAATGTATGCTTTGACGTGAATGGAATTATAGTTACCTTTTTTATGTGAAGTTTTTATGTGGTTCACACTTCTTGACCATGCAGTGTTATCCAGGGGAAGATGATGTGGCCATTGCCCGAGCTATTTTAATGTAAGCCACATCTCCACTATGTGCTTGTATAGGCAATTCAAATGTTTTGTTCCCATTGGTATCATTGATGATAGTTGAACACCCAATCTGGATTATCGGACCTGAATCCTGGATTAGCTTCAATTTCTGAAGTCCACGATGAGTGCAATAACTCCATAACCTGAGTGAATTTTTCGTAAAAATGAGAACAATAACTTGATTACAATGTAAAGTGAAATTCCCTTTCTAAATTATAATCTTTTTTTGGGAACTATGAGAACAATTGAACATACACATTCAACTACCGTCTCGCCATGTTTATATACATTTCCTTTTGCTTTTGTTCTGAGATTGAGCAGTAGGCTAATCCAGCTAATTCTGTTTTCGGTTTTCCTATAGAGCTGATTTTGTGTCTTTCTATTGTAGGTATTTGTCAGTTGGTAATCTGAGAGATGCCAATATTCTCATGGATGAGATAAAGAAGCAAGTGGAGTCTAAGCAGCTTGACTTTCCCAAATCCGATTTGATCCAGTTCATCAATTTTCTTTTGCAAACGTATGTTGCGTTCAATTCTCCCTTTTTATTCATGAACCGTAACAATCTTATACCCCATCTCTAGAGAAGGATCCATAAAAATCTTATCTGTCTAAATGGATTTTGGAGCATGGTAAAAGAAAATGAAATGTACTGTTGCTTGGCTTCCGTTTTGCTCATTTTAGAGGCAATCGATATTGAATCAAGCCATTAAAAAGTAAAATCCTAAAGTGTAATTTTCGGTGACTTGGGCAATCAAAATATCGATAATCATACTGGAAATATGCAATTTATTTATGCCCCTCATCTTCATGCATCAAAATATCGATAGCCAAAGTCTCGAGAGATCATTAAGATTTAATTAGATTATGAAATAAGAAGGAACTTCAATTATTGATCTGTATGCTATGACTATGAGGTTTACAAATTGCTGAATTATTCTGAATGTTATTCTCAACGCAGGTTGTTGAGAGATGCTCTTCCGCTTTTTAATATGTTGAGAGCGAAATACAAATCAAGCTTAGACAGAGAACCGTCATTTCATGAGGTATGCGATTTTTTATGCGTGACAACCTTTTACAAATTTGTGTTAAATGGCTCTCACTAAGGTGTACTTTTGTGCAAAGGTATATGCTAACTATGAATTTATGGTTTAGTTGCTGGATGAAATTGCGGAGAAGTTTTATGGAGTACGACGCAGAAATCCACTGCAAGGGATGGGGATGTTCGGCGAGATTTTCAAGGTAATTATGCATTCCCCACAATATTGTAGCTTGTAACGGAGTTGAACTCTTATGAACAGTTATCCACAAAATAATAACGATACAACTCTGACGGAGACTCTGTTCCATGGAAAAAACTGAGTGAGTCTTGAAATAACTGAGCAGCATTCTTATTGGAACATACATCCTTGTTATGCAGATGATGGGAGGTGAATAGTGGCGCGATGGAGCATCAAGTTCTTGCTTCCTCGGCGGATCCATCAATGCTACCGTTCTTGTGCTGGTTGATGGGAGTGTATTTGTATTTTTGATACTCTAGGAACAATTTTTGGGAGTGTATTTATATTTATATTGTTTTTCACCTAGGTAGATACAGATCTTGTGTTTGTACCATCAACAGGATAATTTTTATTTTTTAATTTGAATATTCCAAATTGTATGACTTCTAATCTTTCATGGCCATAATTTCTTCCGGATTCTGAAATTTGAGTACTGAAATCCGTTAATTTAAGATACACATCTCTGAAATAAGTTCGGAAGTCGACTGACATAACAAGCCAGGTATCTTGGAGCTCCATGATGAGGTCTAATTGAGCATCCCAAGGACCAAACTTGTCGCCGTCGGCAACGCCTCCACCACCTGACCGTACTCTCCGAAGCTCTCCGGAGTCGCTGTGATGGCCTTGAGCTCCACCGGCTTTGACTTGCTGTAGATTTCCATCTTTTTTTATTCTTTGCTCTAACTATGTCTGTTTATATATCGTGCGGTCAGTTTTCATTTTTGATTGTACAATCTACAAATAGAGTGTGATTCGAAGATATCCGGATTCTCACAAAAAGAATCCGGGATGGATCCTCATTCCTAAATAAAAATCCAAATGTAGAAATTTTCTGTTCCCTACTCGTCCTTTTCCGACGGATGAGGATCGAAACGCTGCCGTTCTCTTGAATCTAAGTAAACGCAGGGTTTCGAGCTTCCCCAAACTCCAAACACCGAGCATTTTCTTCTTCTTCTTCAACCGACTGCAACTTACACTCGCAACCCATGGCAGCTCCAACTCAAGCCCTAACTCAGCGTCAACTCCTCAAAACCCTAACCAACCTCTTGACCTCAACAAAAATCCTAAACCCAGAACCTCTAAAACCCTACATTCCTCACCTGACCCAACCCCTCCTCCTCTCCATCATCTCCTCCAAAGCCCTAGCCTCTCAACCCACGGCCCTCCTCTTCTTCTTCCGGTGGGTCCAGGATCACACGCCCTCCCTAACCCAATCCCCACAGACCCTCCTCGCCCTCCTCCCCTCCCTCTTCACCCACCACAAGTTCTCCGACGCCAAAGCACTCCTCGTCCAATTCATCGCCGCCGATCGCAAGAACGATCTCCACCGCCTCATCCTTCGAACGGACCCCACCGTGCGGAAGCCCTCGAAGGCCCTTCTGGACACTTCCATTGGGGCATATGTGGAATCCGGGAAACCCCACCTTGCAGCCCAAGTGTTTGATAAAATGAAGCGGCTTCGGCTTCAGCCCAATTTGCTCACCTGCAATACTCTGATTAATGGTCTGGTGAGGTACCGGTCATCGCATTCGATTTCATTGTCTAGAGGTGTGTTTAAGCATGCTGTTGAGTTAGGGGTTAAAGTGAATACGAATACTTTTAACATTTTGATATGTGGGTATTGCTTGGAGCATAAGTTTAGGGATGCTGTAGAGTTGTTGAGTAGGATGAGTGAATTCAGATGCGTGCCCGATAATGTGAGCTATAATACGATATTGAACTGGCTGTGTAAAAAGGGGCAGTTGAGTGAAGCCCGGGACTTGTTGTTGGACATGAAGAATCGAGGGTTGTTTCCGAATAGGAACACATATAACATTTTGGTTTGTGGGTATTGTAAGATAGGGTGGTTGAAGGAGGCAATGCAGGTGATCGAGTTGATGACACAGAACAGTTTGTTGCCGGATATTTGGACGTACAATGTCTTGATTAAGGGGTTGTGTAGGGAGGGTAGGATTGAGGAGGCTCTGAGGCTTCGGGTTGAGATGGAAAATTTGAAGTTGATGCCTGATGTTGTCACGTATAACACATTGATTGATGGGTATTTTGAGTGGAGCAGTGATTCAGAGGCCTTTAAGTTGGTTGAGGAGATGCGTGAAAAGGGAGTGAAAGCAAATGCAGTTACTTACAATATAATAGTAAAGTGGTTCTGTAAAGAAGGGAAGCTGGATGAAGCCAGTGATACTATAAGGAAGATGGAGGAAGATGGGTTTGCTCCTGATTGTGTCACTTATAATACTTTGATTAACGAGTATTGCAAGGCAGGGAAAATGGCAGAAGCATTTAAAATGATGAATGAGATGGGTACGAAAGGTTTGAAGATGGACATCTTTACTCTCAATACTCTTCTTTACACTCTCTGCAGTGAGAAGAAGCTGGACAAGGCATTTGAGTTGCTTCGTACTGCAACTAAGCGGGGTTATATTCTTGATGAGGTAAGCTATGGAACCTTGATCACGGGATGCTTTAAGAACGAAAAGGCCAACAAGGGTTTCAAGCTTTGGGATGAGATGAAGGAGAAGCAGGTTGTTCCCAGCATTGTCACCTATAACACTATAATTGGAGGCCTCTTCCAGTCTGGAAAAACTGATCAAGCATTCGACAAGTTGAATGAGCTTCTAGAGAGGGGTCTAGTCCCTGATGGAACTACATACAACACGATAATTCATGGTTACTGCCGTGAGGGGAATGTTGAGAAAGCATTTCAGTTCCACAACAAAATGGTTGAGGAATCATTCAAGCCAGATGTCTATACATGTAATATTCTTCTTTGTGGGCTATGTAGAGAGGGTATGTTAGAAAAAGCTCTTAAGCTTTTTAACACATGGATTTCGAAAGGGAAAGACATTGATGCAGTTACTTACAACACATTGATATCAAGCCTTTGCAAAGAAGGAAGGTTTGATGATGTTTTTGCTCTTTTTTCGGAAATGGAAGAAAAGAAATTAGCGCCAGACCAGTATACACACACTGCCATTCTTGGTGCACTTACGGATACTGGTAGGATTAAGGAAGCAGAAGAATTTATTTTGAAAATGATTGATATGGGAAAGTTACCTGATTGGCCCCCAGAATTGGAGAAGGTTAAAAATGGAGTGGCCGAATCTTCAGTTGAATATGATTCAAGCACAGGAGCCTATTCAGAAAAAATCATTGAGTGTTGCTTTCAAGGTAAATATAAGGATGCAATGCACATTTTGGAAGAATCAATGCAGAAAGGCACGACGTTAAGTAAAGATGTTTACATTAATTTGATGAATGGGCTGATTAAGAGGCGAAAAAGTATATCAAAGGCTGTTAAGCTGTAGTGACACCTTTGGCTATTTTTGACAATGTCAGAGTGCCCGAGCCTTGCCTACACGTTCTATTTGAATAGGGCAACAACTGGACCAGGTACAACCTTTTGTTTTCTTATCTTTTCATGTTTCTCTAATCTTCTCATAGAATCCAGTTTCAAGTTTAATTCTCATACAATCTTACTTAGTACAAAAGAGTTAGCTAGAAGAACATAGAAATATTGACAGTATGATCCAGTTTGTAGATGCTTAGAAGAATGAAATTTCTTAGTAACTATGCAAAATGTCACTTTCCGTCTATTGTGAAAACACAAAAGAACATCACTTTTCGTCTCGGAACTGAGTGCTGTTCAACGTTTTGCAGTAATGATGAAGCCAAGGGACATCGGCAACAGTATTATTTGCTAATCTTTTTATTCTTTTTGGACATGCAGCTGGAGCAAATTCAAATTAGTAGAGGAAGATTTGTTTTACAATCTGCTGATGGTTTTATTGATGAGTGCTGATCTAAGATAAAATTAAGTTTGACATTTGTTGAAATTCACAGGTTCCTTTAACAAAAGAAAACAGTTCACGTGAAATGAACAAAGTTTCTTTGTCCATGCCATTAAATTTGAGGTTTGGTGGTGTTCAAGTAAAGGCAGGGCATGGAAATCTTATCCTCCATTCTGAGACCGAAATTGAGAATTGGCAGCTAAAAATGGGACTAGCTTTCTTGAAAGGCGTTTCTTATGGCTGATGTGAGGAGAAACGGGTTCATGAGGTTAGCAATAATCTGCAAGATGTAAAGAATCAAGTTCATTTTTCTTTCAATTTGTTCTATATCTGAGAATGCTAGAGGGAAGAATGAAGGTGGTAAGGTTCCATATTAGCGTACAGTGTAGTACAAAGGAAAGTTTCCCTTGGAACAGATGATAACGTTTAAGAAGTGCTGTGTGTCATATTGCATCTTTCTTAGCCCTTTCAGACAGGAGTTTTTTTCCATCATTCTTGACAATGGCGATATTCATAAGGTTCGCTGAACAAGGGAAACTGCAGTCCTGGGGGTTACAGCATGTGTCATACTATCAGCGATTCAGCATCAAAGAGTAATTCTCCTCGACAGCCAGACTTCCAACCCCATTCCTCTTCAGAAAGAAGGAAAAGCCATGGTCAATGAGGGGATGAAAGATACATTATCCATCGCATACGTGTGTTAGAAATGGATTAGACTACTGGTTTCATCAGTTCAGATGCATTGCGTTAGGACTGAGCGCTCCACAAAAGTGTCATCTCACTTTCGCGAGGATCCCTGCAATTTCTGGTACAATTTGGGCTTTTAAAGTTGTCAATGATGAAAGGAAGAGAGCTGTAAGCTGAATGATTGTATTTATATGCCATTGCTCTCTGTATTATAGATGAACTGTCTTTTATTTCTTCCTGAAAATATCCCGCCGTGTAAATTAAGTGTTTGGATGATGAGAAAAGAAAGAAATTCAATAAAGATTATCAAGGATGCTGGTATTATCCCATTAACGTCTAGTTTTGCATTTCTCTAATGTGTTGGAGAAATGTAGTTTTTCATTATAAAAACGAGGGAGGAGTGCGAAAAAGAAAACGAGATTCTGAAAATCACTGCCTTTATAAATTTTTGTTTAGAAATTTCAGTTTTACCCAACCCTAAAGTAGAACATTCTAAGTTGGTGAGTCTGCTTGACTGTAGTCATAGGTAAGGTGAAATTTCTATAGCTTCTTTGGGACCGAAAGAGGATAACCGTGACTTACCACCAGTTGTCCTCCTTTTATCTAAAATAAAAATAAAAACTAAAATGAACAACCCCTAATATAAAGACACTTCTCTTGTCGACCTTCCAACACTAGGCTGGTGTCAAACTTTATATATTGTGTTACCAGTGCCTCTTAGCAGAAAATCATTTTCTTTGTAACGGCCAAAAAAAAATTGATTTTCACACACCCATAATCTCATGCCCAATCTTTATTTTTGTCATTTGATTTAGTGTTTAAAATATCAATATATGTGAAATATCAATATGCAAATTATGAAAATACCGATGAATATATTATTATTGGTTACCCTTGACTAAAATTATAAAAATTTGCAATTGAGCAGGTATATCAACTCATTCAAATTTAGTTGAAATTAAAAAGAAAGTTGAGAATAACAACGGGGTGACACAAATAGTTTTTGGTCAGAATAATTTAGAATAGCAATAGCAATATCATTTGTATTAAAAAAAAACATAAATAAATACGGGCATGCACGGGGAGAAAAATGTATAAAAATCACTTAAAAAAATATTACAAAAAAAATGTCTAAGTTCGTCAAAAGTTGTATTCCTACCTAACTCATTAAGTAAAAGTTTTAATACTTGTTTAGATGTGCTTTTAAAATGACTGAAAACTTGGATTCCAAAAGTATTTTAAGTGCTTTCTACGAGAAGCACTTTAAGTGCTTTTCTAGAATTTACTAGCATTTTTACTAAGGATTATTTTCAAAAATATTTTCACTAAAAGCGCTTTCAGTCATTTTAAAAGTACATCTAAACGAGCTCTTAATTTTTATCTCAAATAAACAAGTAAAAAAAGTAGGGGTAAATTATACTTTACCACCTCAGATTTGATGTCTATTACAATCTCATACAACATCTTTAAAACATTTCACTTTCATACCTCACATATTATTTTATTTCAATATAATACATCTGTTACATTTTCCATTCTTTGATCCTTTAAGAGCTGACGTGGCGGCCATATTTGTGTCACGCGGTTGCCAAATTTGTTCCACGCGACAATTTGTTTTTATTCATTTAAAATAATATAATAATTTACCCTTAAAATAAATAAATAAATAATTGAAACCCACCTCCCCGCAACACAAACCCTAAAAACCTCCCAAGGTCCAACAAGTCGAGTTCTTTGCCTCGCCCGACCTCATCGCCTCCCGTCTCCAACTCCCCCTCCTGTAATGATCCCCCCACCACGTCACTCCTCTGATACCAGCCGTTCGGTTTTTCTTTCTGTTGTTCCCGCCTCACGTACCCCCCAAGAGTCTGTGCTCGTCGAAAGTTACAACAACTTCTATGAGCACTTCCCCACCTCGCCTCCTACTGAGTTGTCGTCGTATGGAATTGTGATAGGGAATCATGAGTTCCTGAACAACGTCGTCATGTCATCGGGTTGAACATTCAAAAAAGTAAGAGCAGTTGGGGGTTTGGCAATGTCTTCTTCGTTTCCTAGTGGAGGGTTCGAATTCGATGGCTGCCATGAAGGTGAGTAGCGTCCTCACGAGTAGGTTGATGACTGTCTCCGTGGTCAAGATGCCTTCTGGGATTTCTGCTAATTGCATATTGCTGTTCAATTACTTTGATTTGATTTGGGGGGTTGCAGGAAGGTGGGTTTTAGTTTGTGGTTTTTTATTTTTTATAATTTTTTAGGGTAAATTATTATAATATTTTAAATAAATAAATTACCATGTGGCACAAATTTGGCAGCCACGTGGCACAAATGTGACCGTCACGTCAGCTCTTAACGGATCAATGGATGAAAAATGTAACGGATGTATTATATTGAAATAAAATAATACGTGAGGTATGAAAGTGAAATATTTTGAAGATGTTGTATGAGGTTGTAATAGACCTCAAATCTGAGATGGTAAAATGTAATTTACCCCTACTTTTTTTACCTGTTTATTGTTGAACTTTAACGAAAATCTCTCAGGTACTGTTCACTTTAACGAAAAATTACATTTTTACACTAAAAAGTCAATCATTGTACTATTCACTTTACTCTTTATTTTGTCTTTATCATTAAAACTCAAAGTTTTCAAATTATTTTTATTAATTTTCCATAAAGCAAAAGCTTATTAAACTTTTTAAAAGTTTGATTTTGTCTCCAATTATTTAAATTCCTCTTGAACGATAAAGCAAAAACCTCACTAAAGTTGTGTTAGCTTTTGATTTCCCATCAATCATCATTTCTTGGCGTACATTTTAGTTAATATGAAACAATTAATTGCTAGATTTTTCTGTTGGATTTAGATTTGCAACTTTATCTACACTAGTAACCGATGTTATGTTAATGTGCCAATAAATTTTGAATCTTTGTAAATCTAATGCAACAATATAAAGCCACTTTTGGTGAGTGGCAATTTTTTTCGCACCATCTTTTTTTTACTCCTCATATACCAAATCTTCTCAATTTTTTGTGGGGTTGCATGAATTTAAGAAGACCAAAAGAGAAAAATGAACAGGGAGTGTGTGTGTAGCACCACCTTTTTTTTGTCAGATTGGTTTTTACATCATCATGTTGATAAAAGGGCGGTTCCAAGCCAACAAGACTCATCACTTTGTAAGAATCAGGAGATGAGCAGTCTTACCCTTACTTTTGCAAAGAAGCTATGATCACAACTCTAACTCGTGTCCTTTTGGTCACAAATGAACAACATTTGTGTTGCGCCAAGGTTATGTGAAACGGTCATAGCATCGTTATGTCTCATCTCTCCTCACGTGATCAGGCTATGTATACAAACTGTAACCCTCAATCAAGAATTTCTCCATTGTTAGCGTATGTACATAATAATCACTACTGTAAATTCAGACATGTATGTGTGTGTGTGTACATACACACACACACATTCCAACTTTATCAGACATTGTTATGCATATCTTGTTTGCAGTTTCAGTTTCAGGTACCATGTTGTCCCGTTTAGAAATTAAAAGGGCTTGCAGTACTAGTTTAATCAAAATTTTTAAAAAGTACACACCAATGACATAAAACAGTGCTTTTTCTTTGGTTTTCTGAAGCCCATGAACCCCAAAAGCCAGAAGCCTCTCCCAGTATGAAACCATGAAAGTCTCAAGACCAGGTGGACCTATCATTTATCTACAACCGCAAATTGGCTTCTGAGCTCTGACCTCAACCTCTGAAAGAGAGTGTTTGAGTTGGGGTAGGTGAAGTGGCATCCAACTCAAACACATAATAGGAAAGGTTGTATTCCACATTTCAAAATTTTCTTCTGAACAAATTTGCATCGCTGGATCGTGCGGCAAGCACTGCCACCATTGCATATGATCTATCAAACATGTACATAAGCAAACATGGAATAAATTTGACCAACTATATTCAACTATAGACATGCACAGTACTCTCAAAGTATAATACTAAGAATGATACTATGGTTTGTATTCTCCAGAGTTAAACGTTGTCGTTGGCTATGTGTTAGCCTCTCAAAATTAATATTTTAAAGAATATTTGTAGGGTCAAATTTTTTTCATCTCTAACCATGCAGAGCTAAATATTTTTATTTTGGCTTGGGATGCACATGTTGGGTTTCATCGAGGGGCCTCAACTTATTATATGCCGTCAACTTTGAATAAATTTAACCTGATTCTTTTTAACAGATTCATTTTGGCTCTTGGCTAAAGATGCGTTTTGTACAAATTCAGGTTAAAAGTGGTCTAGCCCATGGCCTGAGATGACCTAACAACACATTCAATAGGATATCCGCTAACAGTCACTATTTATGCGAAATGTCAACGTAGTTTATACTTTAATCCTCCTAGCTAGTTGATCCAATTCACGATTTTTTTGTTATTTGATTACAATTCTTAATAAAAAAAAAAAACTCACCTTTCTTATTTCATAACTGAAATGAATCATCCATGTTTTAATGAACGCATGAATTTTAAGAATCAAAATAATCTCAATGTCTAATTTTATTAGGTAAGCATGTGTTAAATGTACACGTGTTATAATTTGGATAATTGAATAACATCACATACTTCCACAAAAAAAGAATAACATCACATGCAATTACACACAATAATCTGCCATATAGGGTTACAGCTAGCCAAAAGTAGTGTAAAATAAACGAAGGATCACTCATATCGGTGGTTGCTCACAGATTACATCCAACATAACTCCTTTCCAAAAGACAATGTAAAGGCTGATCGATGGTCCCTCAACCTACATTTGCTGATCACCAAGATTAATAAACTAGAAACTAAGAAAGCGTGTGGGAATATTATTGGGGAACCCCTGCCCATGCACGACAGAAGTGACAGAAATGACAGAAATGACACATCATAGTTCAACAAAGCAAAGCAACCAACGCGTGGACCTTGTAACTTTGTTCCATTTCTTCTTATGAACCAATGGAGTACAGTCTGCAAATTCCATATATGTTTATCTGATCCAAATCTTACAAATGCTTGCCTAATTAATTTGCATGGAAAATAAATTAAGAAAAATGCTAAGAAATTTTTTCAAAAGTGAGATTTTCTATGAACTTTCTGCCACGTCATTTTTTTTGCATAATATTTCATAATATTAGCACTATAATTAACATTAAATTGTAAGGTGGCATAGAGTCTCATTTAGCATTTATCATAAATTAATTAATATTATATGAAGAGAGAATATTCTTGTCTTGGTGAAGGGGTCCAAATTAATCAGTCAGTGATTAAGTTGTATAAATTTTGGGAACATAATGATTAGTGGATATTATT